GAGCCGCATTGCGGTCGATTCGGGACGGCTCTGGGGCAGGTCCCGGCAACCCAGCAGAGTCATTCTATGTAGTCCCAACCACGGGTGGAACTATTTCCTACGCAGGAATCCTCACCCGAGCTGAAAAGCAGGCACGCAGGAACAGTCTTGAGGATGGCGATGACGACTTTGTGGATGCGCGAGAGACCCCCTCGTCTCCTGAAATGCGTCATAGTGCCAGTGGTTCACGCACATGGGCGGGACGCCGCGGCGCACCCGATAAGCTTACCACTCCGCAGACACACAAGACAATGGAGGAGATGCAGGTGGAGAATGAGACGTTGAGAGGTTTGACCGATTCGCTTGCGACACGGTTGCATATGTGGGAGGTGAGCGCACAATCTTCGTCAATGGCGCTGCAGCAATCAATCCGAATGATGCACCGCCAGAGCGCCGGGACGCCTGATTATTTGCAGCCTTCTACGGCCACTGCATCTCCTGTTGCTATGCTGACTGCGCCGCCGGGTGCGGCTGATACTGACGCGCGGATCAAAGAACTCGAGGAGCAGATCCGACGTAGTGAGAATAAACTTGAAAGTGTTGCTCACGAAAACGACAAACTCAAGAATGTTCTTGGGCGATACCGAGACCGCTGGGAGAAATTGAAAGAGGGTGCTAAAACTCGGAGAGCAGAGGGTCGCTCCGGTGACACTCAAAGCAATCCACCTGCGAGTGGTGCCAGCAAGCCATCGGAACCTTTGGTCTCCCCAGATCCTGGTCGAGGTCCCTCCACTGGTCAAGCAGGGTCTCGTGCTGCAGGTGACCCAGCATAGTCTCTCAACATCAATTATCGGTGGTTAGAAACGGCGCTTGGTCCTTTATGCTATGCCTTTATGAGATATCCCCATTACACCATTTATGAAGCTTCGAATCCAATTGATTATCACGTATCTCAATCGGTAGTACGGCAAATACTGAGTATCATCTCATACCAGCCCGGTAGAATCATCCAGGCGAGATAAATAATGTTATATATGTATCACAGTGCATAATAAATTCTAGTGTATCTAGTCGTCGAGAAGTAAAATCAGCTTAGGATACGAGGAGAAAATGATGTAGGGAAAGCGACTGGGTTTCTGAAAATTCGAATCTCTCATCTTCACACATCACGCAAGATATATACAATCTAAGATGCACCAAACAACACACACATCGGACTACGTACTAAGTACTATGCTTCCCTTCAATAAAAACCTCAACGATCACGAACAATAAACGTAGCATTACCACGAATATCCTCGGAGCTGCTACCCACAAGGACAGTGAACTGACCGGGCTCAACAACATACTTCATCCGAGTATTCCAAAGGCCGATATCATCAACCTTAATAGGAATCTCAACAGTCTTAGTCTTTCCAGCAGGGATAACCACCTTCTTGAAGCCCTTAAGCTGACGATTAGGAACAACAACCGAGGCAATATCATCCTGGATATAGGCCTGCACAACCTCCGTACCCTCACGGGTAGCATGGGTATTAGTCACATCAACGCTCACAGTGACAGTCTTCTCAGACGTAGAGATCTTGCTCTTGTCGACCTTGACAGCTCCGTACTTGAAGGCGGAGTAACTCTTGCCATAGCCGAAGGGGTACCACGGTGAAGCGTCACCGAGAACGTATGAGTGGCCGAACACGAGAGTTCCATTTTCATACTTATGGCCTACGTCGCCCATGGAGCGCCCAGAGTTGAGGTAGTCGTAGAATATCGGGAGATCGCCCACGTAGCGGGGAAAGCTAACAGATAGCTTGCCGGATGGGTTGTAGTCGCCAAAAAGGACGTCGGCGAGGGCGTTACCCCCCTGCTCGGATGGATAGAAATGTTGCACGAGGGCAGCGGTTGAGTTTGCGATCCATGTGTCTGTAATGGGCTTGCCGCTTGACAGGACGACGATTGTTGGCACGCCGGTGTCGGCAATGGCTTTAATCAGAGGTCCTTGGGCGCCAACAAGGGACAGATCGTCTTCGTCAACGTGCTCGCCAGTTCTTTTTGTCTGTCAGTACTGACACTTTCAGATATATATTGAAACAAGGTGGGTTTACTCACGTTGCGTTCAGTCCTGTCCAGAGTTCCCCCTGATCGCGAGACCAGGTTCCAACAATCACGACGGCCACGTCGGACTTTTTTGCGGCCTCAATTGCCTCTTCAAAGCCTGATTGATCATTGCTCGCTCGATCGCATCCCTGCACATAGTGGACCTGGGCGTTGTCGTCAACTGCAGCCTTGATCCCTTCGAGGGGAGTGACACCCCGGTATTGGCTCCTGTAGACAACGTAGTCACCGTACTATAAACGTCATTAATATCTAGGCTAAAAGTGGAATAATAATGTGACTTACGTTCATGAGACCACCGGCCATAGGCCCAATAACCGCAATGTTACTCGACTTCTTCAGAGGCAGAATGTCTTCGTGGTTCTCAAGCAGAACGATAGATTCCTTGTCCAGGTCTCTTGCGACTTGCACAGCCTCGGGGCTGTTAATGAGCGAACGCCACTCGTTCCTAGGCGCAGCAGGGTATGGGTGCTCGAAGAGACCCATTTCGAACTTGACCCGGAGCAACCTGGCCACAGCAGTATCCACAACGTCAATATCGAGCTTGCCAGACTTGACAAGCTCGGGAATCTTTTGGAAGTTGCTAGTCGGTAGTTAGTGTATGTTTCTGGGTCGTGCTTGTTTCATTAAAGCTCACAATGAACCGCCTCCCATCTCAATGTCGGTTCCAGCACTCAGCAGCTGTGTGGTAACCGCTGCCATGTCAATGGGATCGCTCTCACAAAGCTTGAAGTAGGAGCACACTCTGTCACTTCCACCAGCGTCGCTCATGACGAAATATTCATATCCCCATTCTTCCCTTAGGATCTCGGTGAGAGTGTGGTAGTCAGAGACCGCTGGAATTCCGTCCCATCTGGAAACATATGTTAGCATGGCGGTATATCATCAGATCAGGTTAGACTTACGAGTGGTACGCAGCCATGATGGACCAAGCACCGGCATCGACAATAGCTCGCTTGAAAGAAGGCAACCACCTATGCAATACTTAGTCAACTGTTTATTCTCTGAGCTTGGGGGTCGACATACGTTGTGCGCAACTCTCTTTCACCACCGTGAACTGGGCCAGTATTGAGTCCCTGCTCGGGGGCACTGAAGCCTGCAAAGTGCTTGACCATGGCTGACACATTCTTGCCCTGCACTCCCTTGACGTAGCTATAACCATATTCGCCGGCGAGGAAAGGGTCTTCGGTAAAGGTTTCCTCTACCTTTTCTCTTTGTTAGCTTAGTCGTCATGGATGTATCAACATATAGATGAAACCCACCCGACCATATCGAAGTTCACGAGCGAGATCAACAACAGGGGCAAAGAGCTGATTAACACCAAGTGCTTTGGCTTCTTGTGCAATGATTTCTGCCATTCTCTCGACAAGCTACACAACACCGTGTTAGATCTCGATGACAGTATGTATGACAGTGCAAGTATAGTACCCGCTTACATCTGTATTCCACGAGCATCCATATGCAATGGGCGAATTGAAAATAGTGGCATTACCAATCAAGAATCCGTGGATACCTAATGCAAGAAATGTATGAGCTTGAATTCATTGCAGCTGGAGAATGTATCCTTGGAGTACATACCCTCAGTCTGAACAATTGCGGGGATTCCCAGAGTAGTGTTGTGGATGAGGTAGTCCTGGGCCCTCTTGATATTGTCTGAGATCCAATCCCAAGCAACAGGGTATCCGACTGTAAGGCATTACTGTTGGTTTCTGCGGGCCGATAAAAAAGGGATCAAATAGCTAAGTAGAGGAGTTCATACCATAGAACATGCCTGCCTTCAGCTCCATGTTGGCAACCAGGCCGGTGTAGTTGAATTCTCCCGAGGTCTGGTTCATCCAATTCGTAATATCACCTGTACAAAAATGCATCAGCAATTATAGCTTCCCTATGGCAGCGATTGAGATGAAACCATACCCTGAATCAACTGGGACCGCTTATCCTCGATGGTCATCCGGCTCAACAGGTCCTGTACTCTCTTTTCCACTGGAGCATTGGAATCCTTGTAGAGAGGGCTGAGGCTCTGTCTTCCCACAGCTAGGGCAGCAAAGATCTGCACGAGCAGCAGCCCATTGGAAAGCAGATTGGCCACCATTTCGAGAAGACAACCCCTTATTTTCCAAATTCAATCGTCAACTGTTGTAGATTGACTAGCATGGGATTGGAAGGAAGAAAAATAAATTCCTGGGGAAGCTCTTGCATATAAGTCCATGCAGACCCGCAATCGACACCCTTGAACTGCGGAGAGAGGTTAATCGAATTGTATGACATGATTTAATGATCCCACGAATTGAAGTAGATAGAAAAAGGCAGGTAGCTCGTACCATTGTGCATCGGAAATGAAGCCGTCTTCAACCCTAGAAACGATCAAGCTAGTCTGAACAGCTGCAGTAGTGCCTTGCTTAGAGTCGTTTGATCCGAGCTAGTACTATCAGGAGACGGAGCAATCCCCTACTCCACATTGGCATGGCATTCCGGGGTTGAGGGGAAGGACTGTCGGCTGTCCGGCTAAATTGACTCGAGAAGTGGAGGTCTGGGGTAGCTGGCTGCGCCTTCTGGGCAGTGGTACGTGCTGTCAACCTTTTTACCTATTGGGATGCCCGTTTTCTCCGATAGATACTTCCGGAACAAGATGTGTGGCAGGTGATCAATATGGATAAATTGAACGGATAAAGAGGCTAAAGGTAAAACTGGTGGCCGAGGCCTCCTTCACGGATGAAATATACAGCGTGAAAAGGAAGAAATACATAAATTCTTAAACATATACCCGCACTATGCAATGTTAATTACAAGAATATGCCGATAGAAACCTATCGGGAAAAGCGCCAAGGGGAGAGATATCGAGGGAAAAGAGCAAATGTATACAGAGTTCGAGTGAGATGGCCACTCTAATGAACTGTTCTTATGCCTCAGAGCTAGGAAGCCTCGGCGTCATGGTCGCCGATGTTGTAGTGTGGTTCGGATTGTGTCTCATTCTCTGGTGTTGGAGTTCCAGTGACAGCAACACTGTCGGCTCTTTGGGTTTTCTGGGGTTTGCGGAGAGCACCACCCAGCCACGCAAGCCCCCCATTCCACGAGTCACTCAGGCTGCGAAGATGGGTCACATCCTCCTTGATGTGTTGTGCTGGTATGTTATTTATTTCCGTCGCGAGATCTCCAGTCTCCGCAGGTCTGTCCGCTAGGGTGGCGGACTGGAGTCGAGCAGTTGCAAGTGAAAGCGCCGCATCCCCATGACCCTCAAGGGATGTATCTGCAAAAGCGCCATCGAGTTGGCGCCGACGTCCTAATCTCCGCCTTGGCCGATCCTTGAGAGGACTACCGTCACCACGACGGATAGAATCAGCGACCACCGCGCTGAAGCCACCGGAAAGTGCGGGAAGCAGAGGTCCAGGAGAGAAACGATGAGAGATAGAGTTGCGCAAAGCGCGCCGCGATGTTGTTTCAGGGGGAGCCTCATTGTGGATAGATTGGTTGGCCTGATTTAAAAGCGGGGGTGTTGAAGCACGTCGTACGGCACCGACATTTCCATTGGCTCCTGTTGCTTCTTCGGGGCCAGGTGCAGGAGGGAAACGCAGAAGAACTGTTGAGGATTGCATTGCCTCGTCTTCATGCCCGGGAGGAGTAACAGGGCGGATATCTGCCCATGGGTTAGACATGCGAGAGGGGGGCCGCAATGGTGAAGTGAAGTCAAACGATGGAGCAGACAGAGGAGATGCACCAGTTAAAGATCCATGAGGCGAAGAGGGCGCGGCAGAAAGAATACCTCTAGGTGTAGACTGATCATCGTCTTCAGCAGTGCCTTGGCTCAATATGGAGCCCCTTGGGGACTGTGGAACGTCATATTGTGCTTCTGTGGAAACGTGTGATGTCTTCGGCTGATGGGCAGGTGGAGACAACTCAATTCTGTCATGATACCTCTCACCATTGAGTAAACCAATGGACCCCTCCTCGTCTGATGAAAATGACGACTCATCGTCAGCGCGGACTCTGCCGCTCGTGATGAAGTAAACCCCGAGGAAAGTCAACAGACATCCACCAACAAATTTAGTTCCGCGCTCGGCCGTCATCGACTCAAAATCACGGTAAAGGACCGCACTTCCGACGATGACAGCGAGAGTGAAGAGAACAAACTGCGTCGGAATCACCTGGGTGGAATCGAAGCGTTGCAGGGCACGATTGATGTAACGGACTTGCATCAAAGCACTAAATACAAGGACGAAGACAAGCAGATAGGTAATAGGGAATGTGATAACATGCCACAATGTGCCAGACAGAAGCGAAGAGACACCCTTCGTCGAAAGAGCCGTGTATCCGCCTTTTTTACAAAGTCAGCAACAAGACCAACAAGAAATGAATCCCCAAAGTAAAAATAACTAAATAGAAACGTACCAAATAATGCAACGAGTCCAACGTCGATAAGAATCGATCGCGAGCCATACTTGTGACTTGCCCACATGAGGCCGATAATCAACGATGTGGTCAATGCTAGATAGAGCAGGAACTCCCATCTGGTGATGTTCACCCAAATTTCATGAGGTCCAATTTGTTCTTCGGACGATTTAGCACTGAGAACCACAACGACGGCACCAGCAATAGAGACGAGCACGCCCCAGAGATCTCGCTTGCGAAATTGCTCCTTTAGCAAGCATGGCGCAATAATGCAATTAGATATCAAGGCCACAACTCCTAATGGCGAGACAATCGACGCTGGTGCAAAGCCGTAGGCCATGAAATTACCCATTTCCCCCACAACCATGAGCACGATTCCAACCCACCAGTACGGAGACTTGAGGTAGGATTTGCGACCGTCTGCGCCATCCTTGCTTCCGGTGCTAGTGGTTCGAGAAATCGTACCAATGTTTGTGCCCTCGGTGTCGTCGCCATCATCGTCACGATAAGGTTCGAAATCATTCTGCTCAGAGTCTCGATATTGATTCTGGGACCTCCCCCTCGACCCGAGGGGCGTCCCGTTGTTTCCGAAATTCCCGTTGCGATTCTTATCCTGTTCCCATTCTCTTGCGATCCGAATGTGCGCGTAGCGTTGGATATTGAGAGCTAATGAAATCAAAACATTGCCGCATAACGCCGTGATAATACCAATCAGCGATGACCATTCATGCATGCCTCCCCCATTATTTCCATCGTGGTCATGAGGAGTTTCTGATGTGGAATTTGATGGCGCAACGAAAAGGTGATGGAAAGAAGAAGTCGCGAATGTGGATGAACTTGACGGGGAGACAGCCGAAGAAAGAAGACCAGGTAGCAGGCTTGCTACCAGCGACGACTGGTAAGATGCCATCCGTTCTGATGAAATGATGCGATCCTAGTACTCGAGTACTGTTTATCGCACGCTTTGGCGGGGAAGCCTTTGTTAAGCACCCCTTACACCTCAGCTCTTCGGTGGGTACGGCCGATCAAAACGAACCCCAAGATTCGACGGTGAGCATTTGATCTCAAGTCAAGTCGCAAAAGACGGCATTCTGTTCCGGGTAATCCGGCTTTCTCGCGCGAAGATTATCACGGCGGACAAGGGTACTAGTAATGAGTATGAAGAGGTTTGGTTAGGCGGTAATCTAACAGCGGAGGCCCGCCGCGGAGATAATTGATATGTCAGCACTAAACAAACCCCCGGGCCCTCCGGAGGCTGGGGCCGTTTCCAAAGGCTTCCAACTTGGAAGATGTCATTTGAGACGCGGTGATTTAGCGTTCCGCAGCGCAGATACGAATTGAAATAACGTCGAAGGCGAGGTCAAATATCATTGGCAGTTCGGGCGGGCGGTTGGGGATTGTCGGGCTCTTGGGGGACGTCATAGAGCAGCAAAAGAGGGGACAACCCGAATGTAAGGAGTTAGGTGCTTGGATTGGGATTCATATGAAACTACAAGCTGTACTAGATATTTGTAACTAGATATTTGTATATTGCATAGGTAGCTTAATTTGAGCCATCGCGACTCAACGGGACGCTTCCGATACCAAAAGTCGTGGTGAATATAGTACATATCCAAGCAGATCATCGCAGATCATCGCTTTGCTTTCTTCTTTTCCGGTCCTTGATCTTCACCATCACTGAGTTCCGCATAGATCGCCTTTGGTTGTGTTTCTTTGTATGCTTTGGTGAATATAGGCTCCTTCTCCGCCTGGTCGGCATATTTCAAGAGTGCTTCACGTGGATCCTCGTCTCGCATGGAGCTGAGTGGAATATGCTCGAGGATGTGCTTCTCATCTGGGGTATTTTTGGCAAATGGTGTCTGCATCGGCAAATGCGGTCGTCGAGGATCGCGAGAGCGACCAGAGGCTGTAAAGCCAACTGTAGGATGACGAGCAGACCTAGTCGCCGAGCTGTAATGCGGAACTCCATTGGAGCCGACGACCACCGAATCACCTGCCAATCCCTGATTCAAGTCCGCGGGCATAGCAATTTCATCAACATGGCGAAGTTTCGGTGCCTTGGACATGACTATCGCTGCGCCTTTCGTGGACATGCTCGGGTTATAGAGGACGTGGGTTTCGGCATTGGCAGAGCCTGTCATAATCTGGTTGAGCTTTTCGTGCCATAGAACAGTAATCAAAGGCGATCCCGGTGTCACAGGAGTCACGAGCTCTGCCTTGAGAGTAGCGGGGTTGAGGATATGCAGATGGCCGGTTTCAGAACCTGTGATGATATTGGCAGACGAAGGAGAGAACTGAATGTTGGATGTCGGGTAGCGGAAAGATGTCGAGGTATGTGTGACGGTTGTGACTGGAGTCTTGAACTTTCTGGTATCCCAAAGCTTGATAGTATCATCACCACCTCTGGTGATAACAAGCCTTCCATCGGAACTGATATCAAGACCGCTTGTCCATGTATCTTTGACATGAGCATCCCGAATTTCTGCGCTGGGTCTGGTGTATGGGCCATTTCCACTCCACATAGCGAGGCTTCCGTCAAGACCTGCACCTACCAGAATGTCGGCCCCTCCTTGTTTCGGGGAGCCCCATGCGATGGCAGTCATCTTAGTCCGACCAGCGGAGCCAGCTGCCCGCGACTTGTGCACGATCACCTCCTTCTGCGAGCGGCCAACATTGGCATCCCAGATGCGAATTGTGCTGTCGGTTCCAGCAGTGGCGCATATGTTAGGATCAGATGGGTTCCATGCACCACAAGTAACCTCAGACACATGTCCTTTGGTATGGTGCAAATCTCGTAGATACATATCTCCCTTCACAAACTCTGTGAGTATCTCACCATCACGGCTGAGAATGCGTGGCTGCGCAGTGGCAGTCACAGCTAGAACGTAACTTGGAGAGAGCGGATTGAACGCGGCGTAGTGCACGGCGTGGGTGTCCTGGGCGGCCGTCGCTTTCTTAGCTGAAGGATCGACGGACTTGAAGGCGCGGAGTGTGGATGGGGTCATCGAGGCAAAGTCAAATAGTTTCAGTGTGCAATCGGTAGAACCTGTGATTAGTCGGGCCCCCGAGGGGTCCACGGTCATAGTGGTCACGGCACGCTCATGAGCCTTGAGAACAAGCTCATGCGATACGGGAAATTCATCCTCGTCATCATCTGAATCGTCAGAGTCTTCGTCGCTATTATCATCACTGTGTTTTTGCTCATCGTCGCTCCCTCTTGCTTCTGAGCTAGGGGCAATGCTTAGTTCATTGTCCTCTGGTTTCGGAGCCGCAACATCAACACGCTTGGAGCGGTCGATCTGGGACTCAACATCAACCGATTTCGCCTGCTTCCCAAAGCTTGAGGGAAAGAACTTGTTGAATGCTTCCTCGTCGAATTCATCCATGGTTGATTTTGTGAGAAACTTTGCGACAATGGGGAGAGGCGCTTCGACCTGATAATGAGCTTGTTTGCAGTGTTTGCAACTCGCTGATAAGCTTGGCGCAAACAACCTGGATTACTAACTACAACGGGCAAATTATGCACTTTCGATGTATGTTTATGGATATATTTAGGGAAATTGCTGGGCAGTAGACCCTTGAGACCGTTCGTTACTCGATTATTACAATACACGAGGGACCTAGCTGAGTACAGGTCTCCAGCGCAAGCACTCCGGCACACCCTCAAGATAATTTCCAGCGCTTACAAGTATAGACCCTCCACAGGACCACCGTCCTGCTTGGTCTTCATGATACGCTCACGAGCAGCCCGGAAATCTTCCATCTGCACCCTCATTCGGCGCTCTCTCAAGGCCATCAAACCAGCTTCGGTACAGATAGCGCGGATGTCAGCACCAGAGAGATCATCCTTCTGGTTGATGAATTCCTCGAGATCAACGTCATCACTGAGAGACATCTTTGATGTGTGCAGAGTGAAAATCTTCTTCTTGGTGTTTTCTAGGAATTGTTAGTAAGCTGGCGCAGCAGTAGATACTAGGGTATCACTTACGGTCTGGATTCTCGAAGAGAATCTTACGATCAATACGACCAGGTCGGATCAAAGCTGGGTCCAGTGTTTCGATTTTGTTGGTGGCCATAATGACCTTCACGTCACCACGATCATCGAATCCATCCAGCTGGTTCAAAAGCTCCAGCATGGTTCGCTGGATTTCTCGCTCTCCGCCGGATTGTGAGTCGTATCGCTTCGTACCGATAGCATCAATCTCGTCAATGAAAACGATTGATGGGGCATGGTCAGCAGCAACGGAGAAGATCTGGCGAACCAGGCGTGGGCCATCACCCAGATACTTCTGAATCAGCTCACTGCCAACAATGCGGAGGAAGGTTGCGCTGGTCTGGTTGGCAACAGCCTTAGCAAGTAGCGTCTTTCCGGTACCTGGGGCACCGTAAAGAATCACTCCCTTCGGGGGCTTGATACCCATCTCTTCATAAAGCTCGGGGTGTAGCAAGGGCAGCTCCACGGATTCTCTAACTTCCTGGATTTGCTGCTCCAGACCACCAATATCAGCGTATGACTCTGTCGGCGCCTTGTCCAACTTCATGACCGAGACAAGGGGGTCAGACTCCTCCGTCAGTACACCGACGACAGACACTGACTTGTGGTGCAGGAGAATACTGGCACCCGGCTCGAGAAGATCTTTATCGACGAAAGACATGATCGAGACGTAGTATTCAGGGCCGGTGGCACTTGAGACAATAGCATGGTCATCATCAATCAACTCTTCTAAGTTGCCGACGCCCATCGGGCTGCCTCGCATGTCATCGACTCGGCTCCGCTCATCAGCGTTCCGATCCATCACATCCAAGTCACTACCCCCTCTAGCGGGATCTTGCGTGGCCAGAGCCTTGGCCTTGCGCATGCGTTCCATGTTCTCAACGTACTCTTCTTCTAACAGCAAGTGGTCGTGAACACGCTGCATGCGAAGGTATCGTAGCTTGCATCGCGATGTAGGGTAGATATCCGGGAGCTTGGACGCAGTGCTTGGGCCGGCAGCCTTGCGCTTCTTCTTTCCAAGACGAGTGGTAGGTGGTGGGGGAGGTTCGTATTTGGGCTTCTCCTTCTGATAAAAGAGATATGGTCTTAGCGCTGGGTGTAGCAGTGGAAATGAGTTGGAGACATACCTTCTTATCCTTGTCATCGCCTCCAGGGCCTCCAGGGCCGCCGCCCAGATTAGACTGTTGTTGACCCTAGTTTTGAATGTTAGAATATAAATCGAGATAACCTCCCAAAGGAACACTCACCATGTTTGTCAGCCACCGAGATGGAGACTATCAGAATCCCTGGTGTGAAGTTGCAAATGTAATCAAAGCAAGGTAAATCCCGAGCCTTGGTATTGAATGATGTGAAAGACGAGTCGAAAGGGATGGTTTGTCAATGCAGATGTGGTGGTATCGCCGGAGGCCAGGACGCTGGGCGAGCTGGAAGCTGTTAGGCCCACACGTGACTATTTACGCCTCAGGCCGCCACTGCGTCATCCACACCTATTGCCTTAACGCCTGTCTTAGTTATCGGCTTCCAAGGTTGTACGTCCGACATTCTCGAAGACAATCGAAGAAATTTATATTCCTCCGAGGCTCTATACTGAGGTTTACCTCACACAACCGAGACTTAAGGCTCGTGTTTTCTGTCGAGGTATATATCTCAGGTATATCTAAGGTGCATATAACAGGCGACAGGTGACAGTGTTTGAGCTCATCACTCATACTGATTCCCTGTATAGTTCCCCTCCTTTGGTGAGATCCTCGTTTATCTTATTGCTTTCAATTCCCTAGAGGATTTCATACCCCATGTGTGAGGCTCTCTACTTGATCTGAAACCTTCCTAACACTATCCTACTATTAGCCCCACTCTGTCCTCCTCTCCACGGCAGCTTCCACGCTCTTGTGCAGTCTTTGGCAAGACGGAAATAGGTCTATTTGTCTCCACAATTTACACACAAAGTGGTTTATTTCAACATCTCCTGTTTGACCTCTTTTTGAAACGAGTCGAATCGCCATGGCTAGCAATCGTATGCGTCGCATTGGAAAAGAAATTGCGGACATTCACGCCGATGTCCACTCTCACATAAAGGCGGAGCCATTTGGCAACCTGGACGATCTCACTCACCTAAGGGGGTCGTTTCCAGGGCCACCAGGTACCCCATATGAAGGTGGCATCTACAATATCGATATCAAAATCCCAACGGACTATCCTTTTCGACCACCTACCATGAAGTTTGAGACCAAAGTGTGGCATCCAAATGTCAGCAGTCAAACGGTCAGTGCCCTTATAATATAGATATGAGCGAATTTGGGATCTGATAGGCAATGTAGGGCGCAATCTGCCTCGACACACTTTCCAGTGCTTGGTCACCAGTTCTGACTATCAAGTCCGCTCTGCTTTCACTGCAGTCTTTGCTCAGCACTCCCGAGCCCAAAGATCCCCAAGATGCTGAAGTGGCTAATATGCTTCTCAAGTCACCCAAGGAATTTGAGCGTGTTGCACGCGACTGGGCAGTCCTCTATGCTGGAGCTCCCGTGCGTAGTGCTGACAATGGAAGCGGATCAAGCCTAGATGACACTCGGCAAGCAGCTAGCGAAGATAATCTCGCAAAGTGAGCCGTTCTTCTACCATTCATTGGGTATCCTGCTGACTATTATCTATAGATATGATGGGTACAACAAGAATTTAATCGACCGTTTCTCCAGCATGGGCTTCGACGTTGATCGTGTTGTGGCTGCTTTCCGATATGTCGGTGTCGAAAGACGGGGAGGTCAAGACTATGAGTTGGAAGAAGGTCGTATGGGTGATATTGCCGCCCGACTTCTCGGTGAGTGATGTATATTCTGGTTTCTGGGGTGAACTCGGGATGAAATGAGGCAGAAAGCACATATGGAATATGAATGAATTGCATTGGGCGGATTGCATTGGGTGGCTTATGCATGTCAAATATATGTTACATAGCTTTTAATTGATATCCAAACCAATAAAATAAGTAAAAGACTAGAAAACAATATAATGATTTGACGTCCCTTAGACAGAGCTCTAGGGCTGCTCAGGTGAAGTGAGGGTTGGTCTTATCGATAAGCCTCGAACCTCCTCGGATGAAACCAAGTGGATTAATTGCTGAGCTCCTTGAGGATCGTCAAATACTTATTCTCATATCTAAAACGGCCCTTCAACTTACGTCTATTTCTTCTCGAAATTTCAAACCAGCCGGCCGTTATCTCCGCCGAAGAATAAACCTCGAAAGGTTTCTTTGATTCTTCTAACAAGACGAGAGCACTAACACAATGATTGAAGATGACATCTACCGCGCCTCGTCCCAGTACCGTCTGTGGTCATACACCGAGCCATCTCTGCAATCTCTCAGAGCTACGACAAATGCCGTTGCTAGCGAGCGCGTGCGCGCCGCTTTGCACAGATCGCGCGAGACTCATCAGTCGACCGCATCCTCCGCGGCGGGAACACCACTACCGGAAAGCAACACGGACACGAAGAATAAAGATGTAGAATGTTTGACACCGGAGGAGGAGCTCGTTCTCGTGCGGTATTACTGCGAGAAGACGCTAGAGCTGGGAGAGACATATAAGCCACCAATCCCAACAATGGTCCGGGTACGTTACGCTCTTCATAAGTACAAATAAGCTTGGGAAGCTGACATTTTTCATTCTACGCATACAGGCCACCGCGATCCAATACCTCCGCCGCTTCTACCTAACCAATTCACCCATGACATACCATCCGAAGTCGATCATGGCGTGTGCGCTCTTCGTCGCGACGAAAACCGATAATTACTATATATCTCTTCGACAATTTGCAGATGGAATTCCTGGTGACACAAAGACAGAGGACGTCATCGCACCGGAATTCTTGCTTATGCAGGGACTGCGTTTCACCTTTGATGTACGGCATCCGTTTCGAGGACTGGAAGGCGGCGTCATGGAACTACAAGCCATCGCGGAAGGCCAAGGACAACCGGCCCCCCATCTACCATATGAGACCGCAGAAGACCTCCAGCAAGGATTGCTGTCCATCGCACCTCCTCCCGTCCCATCATCTTCAATGTCAGATCGAATCGCTCGAGCCCACGGCACAACTCGTGAGCTGCTGAAATCCGCTGCGCAGATGACGGACGCCTACTTCTTGTACACACCATCCCAGATATGGTTCTCTGCCTTTTTACTGGCAGATCGTCCCCTAGCAGAGTTTTTGCTGGATGTCAAACTCGGTGGTCCAGTTACAGCCACAATCCCTGCCCCCGAAACAGACGAAAATGGCCTGGTGAACCCTCTATACGAAATCCGCTTCAAGCTGCATCACGTCTTGACTGAGTGCTCTGCTCTACTCCAATCCTACACGCCTCTCTCCTCCGACCCCGCGCAAATGAAGAGCCTCAAGCGCATCGCAAAGAAAGTATATCATTGCCAGAACCCCGAGAAAGTGAACCTGGCTGCAACTAAACGGGAATCAACCCAGCCATCTTCCGCTGTTCAAAGTGACACTGGAATAGTCAACTCCGAGAGCGAAACAGAACGCCTAGCGAAAAAGCGGAAATTAGAACAAGGGCAGGCTGTCCGTCAGGATGATGATGTTTTTGGTCCGGAGTTGGTCACTCAGCGAACCAAGTAGTAATAGGCATGCATGCCATTGCACCAAAAGACACGGATGTTTAATATCAAAAATCAGAACGGACGCACTTATATATGCACCAACCGTCGGACATGATAATACATTTCCAAATTCCAGGTCCGAGTTGCGGCCAGTAGATCTCTCGGTCTATACAGACCTAAAACCTCGAGTCTCAAACGCGGAAAGGGCACAGGTGCATCCCTGCCATCATCGCACCGAAACACTACAATATGGCTCAGGACTATTTTGCTCCGATCCGACATGGAAACCAAACTCAATTCAGCCTTTTGATATACAATGGATGCGATATCAGTGGTTGTAATTGACGCTGCGTATTACCTTCCGTAGAACTACAACGACATTGAAACCCCATCAGTCCTGTGATTATACTATTAGTGTCATTCTTTTTACCAGACCTCAAACACGAACTCCTATCCTACAAGACCTATGGAGTACACAAACTAAGCACGATAAACAAATAGACATAAAATCCATCAAAAAGGCAACGAATCCAAAATCTCCGCCAAAAGCTCCGCAATCAACTGAGGCGGCGTCTGACCACCAGCAATCTCATCCTTAAGAACAGCCAATTCCCACTTAATCTGAAAGCAAATCTCCTTAATAGGAAGCGACCCCCAACGAACACGCACGCGGTTATGATCCCGGACACCGACCTCACCGACCTCACCCAGGAACCCGATCTGCATGACTCGCTCGCCGAGCTCATCCAGCCGTGTCGGGATCTCTTCCATGTCTGGGCTGGGGGATGGGCAGAGGAGAACGAATACCTGGCATTGCAGCTTGTGGGCGAAGGCTTCGCAGGCTTTTGTGTAGATCTCTCGGAAATTATGCGGGTGCACGCGAGATCCGTCCATTGTGCTCATGGGTGCGTGGGTGGGTTTCTGGTGGTGGGTTAATTTGTTAGGGCTTACCTAGATATGGCTGCGGATGTCGCTGTGGAGAATGAGATTATGGATGGGATGGGATTGTGGAGAGATCCGCGGGTATTTATATATGCATGTTCTGTTAGTGGTGACTTGGGTTTGGTTCTTTGTTTTAGATAGAGAGAAACAAGAAGATGAAGAAGACAATGAGGTACTATGATCATTGTTGATGTTCTTTGTTGCTCGGGGCATCGTCATGGTGTATTCTATTAGTCTTGGGATAAGAATAACTAGAAAGAGAAGAAAGAAAAGAAAGGCATTGTCAATTAGCGAACTAGTCCCGGCCGATGCTCAGTCACGACACTGCTGACGGGGAAGATATCTAGACAGGTCATGGAAACATCGAAAGTATCAAGAGGAAGCATATCATATATACAAGTAGCGCCATACGATATAGTAACTGGCATCCCTTATATTCACCTCGGAAAAGAGGACTAAACACTCTATCAAGGACGCATAAGACAAAGAAACAGACGGATCGAATCAGGGGTAATGAGTTCATGATAGCAATAAACGCAAAAGTCCAATCCTCCATAACCCAAAATCTATTCGGAAAAGGGGGGAAGGACAAACGATCTAACGGACAAAAAGAAATTAAATGAAAACCATCCCAATCCAAGGAACTTTTTGTTGGAGTGTCCCTGTTTGCGGGATCCAAACTTTTAGTGCCACGATGTGGGCATTTGTATTCCTTCAGTTCTCGTCTAGCATTTCGTCGTCATCAATAGGGGAAAAAAAGAAGTTGAAAAAAGTTGAACAAGCAAAGAGAATCAATAAAGCCCTTAAACGGCACCGGCAGACAACATCTTGTTACGGAGGTGGTTCTTGTAGTCACCGATGGAGCCGTCCCAGCGGCGGATAGTCTTGTCCTCACAGACCATGATGTCCTTAGCAATCTTATCGAGGAGACGGAAATCGTGGGAGACGACAACGACACCACCGCTGTAGGCATTGATGGCATCGGCCAATGAGTCAATGGTGGGAATATCAAGACCGTTGGTAGGCTCGTCCAGCAGAATCATGTTGGGGGACTCGATGGCGAGGAGAGCGAAGACAATACGAGACTTCTGACCCTCAGATAGGGTACCCATGAGGGCAGTCTGGCCCTCACCGCTCAGACCGTAACGGCCGAGCTGCTGGCGCCAGTACTGGTAGTCCTGGGATTTCTCGGGGAAGCGGTCACGGACGAACTCCAGGGAGGACTTGGTAAGATCAAGCTGCTCGGAGGAGTGCTGGCTGTAGACACCGAGCTTCAAGTGAGTGTGACGGGAGACACGGCCACCGATGGGGCTGAGCTTGCCGGTCATGAGACGTAGCAGGGTAGACTTGCCGACACCGTTGGGGCCGACCAGGGCGGTACGGGAGTCCATGTCCACACCGAGGTCGAGGTGCTCGTACAGAGTGTCCTCCCACTTACCGGAGTAAGAGAAGCTGACATCGTCGAAAGAGAGAACTGGGGGAGGAAGCTTCTCAACATCGGCGAAGCGGAAGGTGAAGACACGGTCGGCGACGACGGGCTGGATGAATCCATCGGCCTCCATCTTGTCGAGAATCTTCTGGCGAGACTTGGCTTGACGCACCAAGTTGGCGTAGGTACCAGCGGAAGCAATGAACTTCTTGATGTGCTGGATTTCTTCCTGCTGCTTGGTGTAGGCCTTGGCCTGGTTGGTCTCCTGCTCGCTACGGGTCTTGTGGTACGAATCGTAGTTACCACCGTAGTAGAGGAGCTTCTGGCCACGCATGTCGAGCATGGTGGTGCAGACACCGTTCAGGAAATCCATGGAGTGAGAGACAAGGATCAAAGTGCGATCCCACTTCTTCAAGTACTCTTCCAACCACACGCAAGCTTCCAAATCCAAATGGGCAGTGGGGTCATCAAGCAATAGCAAAGAGGGCTTGACGAACAGGGCCTTGGCGAGGGCCACACGCATACGCCAACCACCGGACATGTCCTTGGTCTTCTTGTTGATGGTAAACTTGTTGAAGCCGAGACCGGTCAAAATGAGAGAGGCACGAACGTGGAAAGTGGAAGGATCCATCTTGTCCATGCGCTATATGAGAGTTAGTTTCTGTTCTGGATCCAAGGAGAGTAAAACTTGAAAATACATACGTCGTATAGGTCTTCGAGGATAGGGTTATCGGGGCCAGATTCCTCAAGAACCTCCTCGGCCTTCTTCTCCATATCCTCCAACTGGCGTTCGGCCTCGCGGACAACCCAGTCAAGGGCACCGAAGTCGGTGGGGGGTGCACCCTCGTTCAGAAGGTAGATATCGATGTGCTCAGGAACGGGGAACTCGCGGGCAGCAATAGACTTGAGGATAGTGGACTTTCCGCAACCGTTCTCACCGAGGAGACCGTAGCGACGGCCGAAGGTCAATTCGAGGGTGGAATCGGTGACCAGGACCTTTCCGTGGAACACAAGGGAGCAAGAGGTGATCTTAACGTCGCGAGAGGCGGGCAGAGATGACAGCACACCGGTGGTGACACGATCGGACAAACCGTGCTTATCCATCTGAGCTGTGAGCTTATCAACGGCGGACTGATCCTTAGTGGCAGGCGCATCCTCGACGATTGGGTTTCCGTGGGCATCGAGCTCGACCTTGGTGACCTTCTTGGGCTTCTTCTCGTCGGCACGCTTGGCCATGCGGGCAGCCTTCGAGGCGGAAACCATGGTTGCGGGTGTGACGGTATAAAAAAATGGGTTTTAAAAATGAAATAAGGGACGACGGAGAGGTAAAGGGAGGGAAAGGAGAAAGGATGACAATGCAGAAAGAGATTGAAGAGAAATGCAAAAAGGCTGAGTGGATCGTCTGGCGGGGCGGACAGAAATGGAGGGGCGTCGAGCAGTGGAGTTGGTGGTTTGCCCTTATCGATAGAATCCTATCGATTGTCAGTCGAGAAACGGGAGAAAATAAGAAATTGAGAGTCGAACTGACCTGTTCTCACTTTATAAGTTTAATTATTTGGCCGAGAGGAGTGAGTTGGCAAGTTCAAGGATTTCACGGACGTTTGAACAAAAAAAAATCCATTGGTGGGCCGCTGGGATAAGTCAGTTCTGATTGGGAGAGACGTCACCGCGGTTGGTGCCTGAGGTGTCAATTTGCCACTTTTGATTTGTGTGAAACAGGGCCCTGGAGAGGGCTTATATTTGGAGAGATTACATGCAGCTGAGGTTTGATATGTATGGTCCCCTCAAAGTCTCCTACGGATCCTCTCCAACACATCTTCCTCCTCGGCAGAGAGCAATATCCCATCAGGCACCGAAACTTCACTCTGTTCTACTACCAGCCGCCGAGGGATACCCGTCAGACTATCTTCACTAGGTGTCTCTAGTCTTTCCTTTCGACTAGCCTTTTCCACATCTCCCCGAGGCGACAGAGGATATGACGTCCACCAGTACAGCGGATATTGACGCTGCACATTATTAATGACCACGGCCGCAGCCTGCATAAGCGCGACTCCAAGCAACACAACCGGAAACAGAAACCAGCCCAGAGCAATAGTCTGAGACTGCGTCACTGCCAGAAGAGCAGTCGCACCCGCCGGCGGGTGCATAGTATTGGTAAGGAGCATGGAAGCCGTGGTAAGAGCGCAAGCAAGAGCGCCCCCGAGCTCGGTATACGCTTCAGCACGCGGGTCCAAGGCGAACAACTTTGATATTCCGACGCCGAAGAAACAAGCGATGATCTGGCTCAGGATTGCATTGCGTGGTTGCGCCAAGGGCGAGTTGATCGTACCGAATTCAATAACTGCCGCTGCACCCTATCATCATCAAAGAGACATCAAGTCAGCCCTGGTTGTTCTTGTTCCACTACTCTCGCATTAGACCATGACTCACAAAACTGCCAAGGATCGTTGTCGCATCGTGCGCTTTAAAAGAAGGAACCCGTTTCGAAACAGATGCCACCAAGGCCACCCCGCAAAACGCTCCAATCGACGCCCAAAAGGCGACCACGATATTGCCCAGTGGCTTGGATGGTCTATCCCGATATCCCAGCATATATGCAACAGGCCTTGGCACGAGATGCCATCGTGGCGCCGGTACAAAGGGATTCAGATATCGATCGATATCGAAATTCCAGGTCGTCGGACGGGATAGCGTCATCGGTTCACGCAGGGATGTCGCCATGCTGGACTTATGCGATGGGCACAATATGCTCTATATTGTAGGCTCTGGTGGGTTTCACCAAATCCCATGTAACGCATCTCGATGTTGGATTCACCCCTGTCGGGAATAGAAAGGAATAACCCCTATCCGCCGCATACCGCTATCCCTTAGTGAGAAATTCCTTCTGCGGTCTAAAACGCAACCTTTCTCTCTTTCTCCGCGGATATCGAGTCTCCCAAGGTCGATGCCAGGTCTAATTTCTCGTCCACTCAGTGGATTTGCATTTGGTAACATAAACTACTATTTGGGACTAGCGGCTTGGCATATCGTCATTAGCCGGATCTTCGTGCAAGACTTAAGGCTATTCTTCAGTCAACGCAACTGAAATGACCATCACTAGGGTAACAGAATGCAATTGACTACCTTAAAACCCATACCTCCCAGCTATTGCGATATACGCCCAGAGCACCCGTCTATACTAAATAATAGAGATATGTCTTCCAGGGTATCATAAACAAAACAATCAAATCTCACCCCCAACATCCCTCAAACACTCCTCTCCCTCCCCAATCACCAATGGCAACCCCACACACCAAGCCCGCGGATACTCCATCCCCCACTTCACCATCAGCGCCCTAAGATCCGCCTCATGACCAGGGACAACATTAACAAAAACCCGATCACCATGCGACCGAGGCTCAGAATGCACCGCGCCATCGTCCTCGCCAACCCGGAAGAAAACACACTCCCCCGCCGACGCCTGCACAACCCCGTGCCCACCCAGCTCAACGACCAGCCGTGCCCGCACCGACTCGGCCGCCATGGCGCACCCGACGCAGCGCACGGAGACACATACGTGGCCTGGGTCTGCGGCGCGGGCGGCTGTTTTGGCGGCTTGTTGTGTGGTGCGGGCTAGGCGGTTCGTCGCCGGTGGGATGAACATGGTTCCGGGGCCTAGGAGGGTGGTTGTGAGTTTCCAGTTTGTTGGGGCGGGGCTTGTAGAGGGGATTTGGGCGGTTGGAGATGTGGGACGTGGGTGATCGTGATGCTTGGTTGGTGTTTTGGAGGGTAAGATTCGGGGTTGGGGCTTTTGGTTCTTTGTTGAGCCTGTCCAAGGCGATTTGAGTAGATTAGCGATTGGCGAGAAGAGCGATTCACGTCTTGAATGGTTTCTTGGTTGGAGGGGGGAGAAGAATAAATCGTCTGTGTGCCAGCGTGGGGTATCGAACTCGTCCGAGCTTTTGCTTGCTCTGATGGTGAGCCAGTAGTGGGATTGGTTGTTTTTGGCCAGGAATTCGTGGACATATGCCAGGAAGGAGAATAAGGAGGGCAATATTGAGCCGTTGATTGTGGCATCTGCCCAGGTGGTAAAGGATGATGGCAGGCTATATGACTCAAGGGTCAAGAGGGGTCCGCAGTAAGTCCATGAGGACGAAGTGTTGAGGGTAATTGGATCATCTGGTAGTAATTCTTGAGACTCGGATGGATGTTTGGGATATGGGAAGAATCGAAACTCTGGTAGTGATTTGACGTCCATCACAATATCTCTTAGCCCAAGATTCAATCCTTCAGGGACAAGTTGGAAAGCTTCCCGTTCGAAGAGAAAATCTGCTCAGACCCCTCGTGCAGACCATGTGACGGTGCGCATCCAGGCCCTTGTTAGGCAGCAATATGAACATGAACATGTATATCTAAACGAAGACGAATTATTAGACATCAATAGTTTTGGCTGTCGAGATGCTTTGCGTAACGCTAATTATTTGGTTTCCGACTGCAAGGGTATTCATGATGTGTATTGGAGTCAAAGAACTATATCCAAGATTCACTGTATATTCAAGGTTGCCTTTATCGAGTATATCATAATCATTATTTGCATAAACAGCTTAGACGTCCAAAGTACGTCCAACGCTGGAACTCTCACGAGCCAACTCGATCAAACGAATGACCTGAGCAGCCTCCGCGCCGCTAGCAGGAAGGTCACCCTCGCCACCAAGACCGCGAACAAGCTTGCGGTAGTACTCGGTGTAAGTGGGGGGCTCGACGGTGGGAACCACCTCCTTGACGGGGTTGCCGTCCTTGATGGTTGTCAGAGTACCGTAACGCTCACTGGGCTCACGACCGTATCCCTTATCCTGGGGCTTGATGCCGGCCTTGAGCTGATCTTCTTGGATATCGAGGTGGTACTATCAATTAGGTCAGCATTCACATTTCTTTACATCGCAGTGATCTACGTGAGTAGATTGCTCTCACCTTCTTGAAGCTACCCTCGGTACCGCGCACCCAGAAGCGCAGCTGCTCTTCCTCGGGGCTGACCACAGTCGCCTTGGCGGTAACCATACTGCCGTTGGCATAGTGCAGCAGAACGGTGAAGGAGTCCTCGTATGAAGTCGTGTTGTGCTCCCGGGCGGAGCCAATGAAAGCGGTTACTCGTGCGGGCAGTCCGAGCAGATGCACGACCTGATCAAGGAGGTGGGTTCCAAGGTCATAGATCGCTGAGCCACCAGGGATGACCTTGTTCTTCCATGAGGTAGAGTTGGCCGGCTCCTCTGGACGGTGACGGTCGAAGTGGGTTTCAAACTCGGAGATGCGGCCGAATGAGCCGTTCTTGACGAGCTTGGAGAGGGTCACGTAGTCGGCATCGAAGCGGCGATCTAGGCAGGTATTAGTAGAGGTTTGGATAAGCTAGGTGACGAGACATACTCTGGTATACGGCAAGCTGTTTGTTGTTCTTCTTTGCAAGGGCGACGAGTTCATCCGCTTCCTTGGAAGTGGGGGTGAAGGGCTTCTCGCAGACAACTGATTATTCCACGTTAGTATATATACCAACTGATATCCGGGATTTCTGGGCATCTACCGTGCTTGCCAGCCTCCAGTGCCAGCTTGGACAGTGCGAAGTGAGAGTCGGGGGCAGTAGTGATGATCACCACGTCGACTGCGGGGTCCTGGACCATCTCCTCAGCGCTACGGTACGACTTCACACCGGGGTGGTCCTTCTCGGCATCGTCATCCTGCTTCGGTGTGCGCTGGACAACTGCGTAGAGCTTGAGCTCGGGAACCTCCGTCACGAAGGGAATGTGGAAGATCTTCGCGCTGAAGCCGTAGCCGACAATACCGACGTTGTAAGTCTTAGCCATGATGAGATATCGATTGTGATTCAATTGAGGGGTAATCAGTGGGTATCGAGACCCTTTTATAGGGCCCCCGGAATTCATTCAGCGGAGACATAGGAAGGTCCTGGCGGCAACGGGTGGGGTTCACCGGTTCCGATGGGGTACCGGTTCCGATGAAGTGGGTAATGGTCGACTGTACATACAACTTTCTACTCGGAGCACTCTGCGCCTGTTTGATAATCATATGGAGTCCACGGGTACTCCGTATTCTTCTTCTATTCTTGACATCTTGGCTTCTGCCCCTCTATCATCCCACTTGCGTCATTGGCTATGCGCCATCTAAGCCTCTTGCACCCCCACGCACCTCGTAACCTCGACAGCATCCTGTTACCCTTGCAGTTAGCGACGGAAATTTCTCGGGGATTCATGCAAACATACCCGCAATCCCTCGGGTTGACATAGCTGGCTCTCATATATTAAGTTGGGGTTCCCGACAAACTGGAAAGTCGGCACGTCATCTTTACCCACAAAGGACTCTACCGTGCGTTCGGCCATCCCGGTAGTATTATACGCCTGCGCAGGCCCGGCCTTCGCCGCTTCGCGCTTCTGTTCGACCGTGCTACGGACGTATTCCAGATATGGTGGGTTGCCCGGGTAGATGACATTGTCAGCAGCGAGCACCGAACCCGGCACAATAGCCCCGAGATGCTCACACAGCTTGAGGTCTGTGGTGTACGCCGGTTTGTAATGATCGATGAAGAGAAGCTCCACTTTCTTCACCTCGCCCGAGGTGAGTAGTTTGTGCAGCGACTTGTCGCTTCGCCCGACGATGATACGCACAAAGTCACGCAGTCCAGCCAGCTCGATGAGCATATTGGCGATTGCGGCGAACTCTGGGTTCAGTTCTAGACTCAGATAGCGTTCGCCACCGTTTCGACGAACTGCGTCGCCGAATAGAATCGCAGAGTACCCCACGTAGCAGCCGAGCTCGATCATGGTCTTTGGCTTGAGTTCATCGATGAGTTTGGTGACGACTTTGCCCTTCTCGGCGCCGACGTTCATAAAATGGTAGTTTTTCTCAAACTCGTGAATCAGATCGAGGACCTTTTGGGGATGGCCGCGGATTTCATCCAGATTTGGCTGTTCATAGATGTAATGCAGGAGCTTCAGCTCCTTGCCGGCGTCGCTCTAGAGTATGAGTTAGCGTTCATTTCTCAATCTAATCAAAAAGCAATTCCTACCGCGGGACCTGGTTGAGACATGACGTGCAGTAAACTAGACGGAATCTGATAAACAATCCATTCCATGCGGATATGCGACCTTATAAACGGCCTCGGGGATAACTGGAATACTTCGGGGAGAGACAGTAAATCCGAGTCGGACCACGCCCAATTCACCATTCACCAGTCGATGGCGTTACCCTTTCAGGCCAAGCTCCTGCGCCTCGGAGATATCCCTTCAGGGAATCAGCGCCGAGACAACTGGGAAATGATCGGAAACCTGATCCCACGTTGATCGCATGTGATCGCCGGACATCCTGCGGTTAGACCCGAGACGCACGTTACCTACATGCATATATGTACCTGTAGGTTGCTCTTGGTCAATTTGTACAGAGGTCTTGATCTTCTACGGATTTCCTACGGGTCTTGAACTATTTAAGTGCTGGAATGTTGAACGCGAAAAATGCATCGTCACACGGCACTAGATCTGCAGCCCCACCCCCCCCCCCCTTCACGGGCCTTCAGTGGTGCCAACCCCTCCAACTGACAGTTCCACAATTTGCCAGCGACGACGCCTTGCCAGCGATAATGCCCTACTATAAGTACTCGAGGCTGCTCATTCGAGGTCCATAATCCTCGATATTATTGTACTCAGACTCAGCATGTCGATTAAATCTGCCAAAGCTTTAGCCTTATCGGGTACTATGTCACGAGTATTCTGGCATATCCTTCGAGTATGCCTTTCATTATCGCTGTTGTTTGTCGATAACATCATTCTCGCGGCCGCGGTATTGATAGCCTATCTCCGACCAGCCACTCGACGTTCAAAGAACTTTTCCCCGAAAACAGTCCTTATCACGGGCATAGGGACAGCCCACGGTCTGACTCTGGCAAGGTCTTGGGCTCTAGAAGGCCATCGCGTGGTTGGAGCCGATATTACAGACCTGGACCTGCCCGTACGCTCCGGTGGGAGCATGTCCAAGGCTCTGGTGGCATTTTACCGGATTCCCAAGGACCATTACATGTCCCGGGTCGCTGACATTATCCACCGCGAAAATGTCGACATATGGATTCCGTGTTCGCCCAAGGCATCCCCCGTGGAAGATGCGATGGTCCGACAGCTCATTGAGGGTTACACTAGCTGCACGTGCATCACCTTCGATGTCACCTGCGCAATTCGCTTCGGCCATCCTGATTCTTTCAGGCAGTATCTGATCGAGAAAGGCCTTCCGGTGCTTGAGCATCACAGGGTTCAATCGCGCGACTCTGTGCACAAGATTTTGCACCGGTCGCCTTCAAAGGCCTATCATATCTCACGAGCAAGCCCATCTGCGAGTGAGAAGGCTATACTGTTGCCGAGCACTACGCTGAGCAAAACATACTCGGCGATCAGCGAGATCCAGATCTCCAAGGACCAGCCTTGGATTCTGCAGCAACAATCTCGTCTTGGAGAGCTATTCGCAGACCTACTGATTGTGCGTGGCCACGTTCAAGCCATTAGAGTTCGGTTTTCGGATTCTGGTCCGTTTACGTGGGGTACATCGCGTTTGGATAAGGCTCTGGCAGCTTCGATCCATAGCCTCATGCAGAAATTGGTAACCAAAGGTGATGTTCGTTTGACGGGTCATCTCTGCGTCAGACTCATGGTCGATGAAGAGTTTGAGGCGCATTCTGTCCGACACGCTATCTACATCGCCGGCTGTACACTCGGCGCAAGACCTGTGGATCATCCGCTATACAATGTACCTTGCCCCGTTTCAGGCTATCTATCTGTGCTCCCATCCAATCGAGTCGATACTTCCAATGTCACAGCCACACTGTCATCAACCGATTCAGCGCCAGCATTTGCCCGTGCCGCCATTATTCCTGCTACTTTCATGAAGTTTCCGGTCTTTCGCATGGCACTCACAGCTCTAGAAGTTGCAGAGGTAGAAATAGTGCAGCTGCTGTTCTGGAAGGATCCGCTGTTCTCTATTCTTGATCCGGTTCCCTGGTGGTGGCATGTACATGTCTATCAACCATTACGGGAGATCTGGGTGTTGATAAAACGAACACGAGAGGCGGGATTGACTGATTTGGCTTGATTTGGCTTGATTTTCCTTTATTATGTATGTTAACATGAGTATACGAGAAACGAGACTATGATGTAAAATGATACGCATAAGCCAAAAGAGAGTGTGGCGAAGTTCCCAAAATAGTAACGGGCTGTCGCCTGGGCAGCGGACGTGGAGGACTTACGTACGCCCTGTAGAAATAAGAGGATGAGGCAGAGAGACAAATCAATCGGATTGAATATCTAAAGTCCTTAATTTACATATATCCATCGTTGTGATCTAAATAATCGCACAGTTGCGACGTTGCGACTGGAAAACAAAACAAAAACAAAACAAAACTCCACGGAGCTTCAGCCAGGCCAAGACCCCATCGGGTCTCATTCTTCAGCCTTGTCTCATCTCTCATCTTTTTTGACCCGTATGACTTCACGATAGACGACACCAACCACTCCCTTCCCTCCGAATACAAAAAGCGCAACACCCTTGCAGCGCTCCTACACAAGACATGTTTCAAGTGCGGTCGTCAGGCGGCAGCCTCGGGCGGACGAAGAATATAATACATTTCATACAAGGATTTATTATCTTCCTCGCATGGGCCTTGACCATCGCTATCTGGACCAAAGGAGATGGCATAGATGGGCGCACAGGCTGGTACTGGGGTTTGGTGAGTTTTGCGTTTTGATACAAAAAAAAGTTGCATTCTGACATACGACCGCATGGCAGTGCTGGTTGAGTATTCCTGGCCTGGTCTATCTAGTAGCAGTGCCCATGTGGCCACGAGCTCGACGCTTCGGTAACGTCTATGCCTTCGCCTGTGTTGACATCCTTTATTCGATTCTCTGGCTCAGTGCGTGGATCTGTCTCGCTTCCTATGTCGCCCAAGGAAAGTCCAAGGGCTCGACCACCGACGACGACGAGAAGACTACTACTAAGAGAGCCGATGATACGACCACCACTACCACCACCAACACCACCAAGACGGGATGCGATAACTGGGGATACGGCAGCGCTGCCAAGTGCAAGCTGAGCGAGGCAACTACAATTATCGGTGTTTTCATCTTGTACGTGCATTCCTTCCGCCGATCCAACGATTCCTTGGTGAAACTAACATACAAAAAGCGTCCTCTTCGCCATCACCTCCTGGATGTCCTTCCGCAATGTCACGCACTTCCGCCGCACCGGCACCCTCCCCGACGCCGTCTCCGATCCCACCTTTGCCGCACAGAGCAAAGCCGCCTTCTCATCGAACCCAGCCCAGGACTTCGAAGAGGACGAGGACGATATCCGCTCCGGCCGAGGCGGCAACATGGGCCCATCGACCCTCGGCGACCAGGACGAGGACTATGCCCTCCTGCATCAGAGTGAGGTGGATGACCTAGGCAACGCACACGGCCGGACCGCGATGCAAGGCTCCTACGATCCCACCGCTACCGCCCCTGGAGGCGTCCTCCATGATTATAACAGTACTGGTTACGGTGGTGCGCATGGCCAGCACTATGTGGAGCCATCTAGTCAGTACGAGCCGTCTACTCATTACAATCCGTCGGAATACACCCCGTCTGAATACACCGCTCATACTGGGTTTGGTGGCTCATCTGTGAGTGGGTACGGACGGCACGCGAGTTGAGTAAGGAGTGTTGTCGGTGTACATGGAGGCATATTTCAGTGAAATACCCGGATGATTGATGAGTCGTCTTGTTTTTTTTGCGCCTTGAATATTGACCATGGAGCGCGGTGTTGGCGCATCGCTGTTTACTTTGGGCTGATGTCCGTCTTTACTGTGTTTCTCACGAGCTTTTTTTGGCACTGGGATTACGATTGTATGTCCTGCTTTTGTTTCATTGGAGCTAGCAATATATAGATGTATCATGTATTGCATTTGTGAATCATGTCTCTGTGTTTTGTAGGTGAAAATACTTTGATACACAACAACGTACGTAGATGATATCTCGAAGGCTGATATCTTGTCAATATATTCAAACAAGATCCTTTTTGGTCAGTATGAAGCCATAGTAGTATTCACCTTTCTATTACCTGCTCTACAAGGTACAATTATTCTGCCACCGCCTTTCCTATCAGCGGGTTTATGGACAGCTTGCCCTCTTGCCATCATCATCTCTTGACAAGTACAACCACGAATATTGACCTCATAGTGAACCTTGCTTGTCGAACAACTAGACAGCGTATCCTGAACTATACCTTGTATGAGTTAACCCTTTCCGCAATGACACCTTTCCATTCCACACCCCAAACACCCGCTCAGGCACACCGCAGCGCATATACTAACAACTCCAAGAAGCAACACCGACCTTACAACCCCAAAACCGAGACCTACGGTCTCCCCCGCCCCAAAATGGCCAGTGAAATCGATATCTACAACCAATACCCATTGTACATGGACCCCAGCACCAAAGCGCTCTCACTTCCACAATCCTCCGCACAAACACCCTCCCAAACAGCTGCAATCAACGCCGAACTGGAAGAACTCAACCAACTACACCGCGCCCTAATCAGCCTCGACCCCCCGAACATCCCACCCCCACCCCTGCCTGTAAACCCCAAGCGCAGCGCGCAGATCAGCAAACTCCGCGACAGCGCCAACGCCGCCCACCGCAAATCCAACTACGACGAAGCAATCAAGCTATACTCGTACGCCATCGACATGGCGCTGAGCCGGCCGGGCTGGGAGCCTATAGGCGTTGCGCGCGAGGAGTTGTCCGGCCTTTATGCGAACCGCGCACAGGCCCATATGGCAATGCAGGCCTGGCCTGACGCGTTGGTTGATGCCAAGGCTAGTGTTGACTCGAAGCCTATTGGCAATGTCAAGGCTTGGTGGCGGATTGCTAAGTGTCTTGCGGAAATGAGTCGCTATGAGGAGGCGCGCAGGTTCTTGCATAAGTCGCTTGATATCGAAGGGAAGGATTCGGAGGGTGGGAAGGAGTTGTTTTCCTTGCTCGGGGAGGTTGATAGGGCTTTGTTGCGGGGATTGTCCGCATAGAATATTGCTCTATCCGTGTATTTGTTTTCTCTTGCACAGCTGCCCTTTTTGTTTCTGCGTGTTGGCTAGGCATTGTGTCGAGGCTTTTATGGTTTACTTGGTTCTGAGCATGATTCCCTTGTTGTTGGGATCTTTCGAGGCGTTCATGCGAGGTTTATACTCTGATATGCATATCTCTGGATTTCCCTGTTCTCGTATTAAAAGACATTACAACTTCTTTCCTTCTCCGTTTTTTTTTTTTTTGTTACGAGTGCAGTCTGAATGAGTTTGAAATATCAATGAGATAAAGTGGCCGCAGTGGGCTATCTATAGTTAGTTGCCCTAATTGCCCACAGCTACGGAGTACCTGCTATATAAAAGCACGCAAATCAGAAAGTAGATCAAGAATCAGTAATCATTTTCGTTTGCCAAAAAGTGTATATACAAGAAGTGCACGCTGAGAAAATCAATAACCCAAATCAACGTCTAATCTCAAATCAAACCAAAACACTGGAGCCATCATTCTTCTTGCAGGCACATGTGCTCGCATTAGCAGCCACCTGCGTGGGTGTGCGCGCAAAGCTAGGAGGCACATCGAGAACAGGATTGCGGTCAAAGAAGTGACGCGGGCGCAGCAGAAGTGTCATCGGCTCTGCAGGCATAATCGGGTAGTCCTCCGGCGCAGGGAAGTGCGTCAGACCGAAAGTATGCCAGAGCACGACGTCGGTGTTATCAATAGAGCAGCTGGGGCCAGCAGCTTCGATCCACGCCGGCAGACCCTCCGAAGGCTCACCGGAGGTCTGGGGGACGTGGCGGCCAGCTGGGTGGACTTGGTCGTCGTCATCTAGAGAATGAAGTCAGAAAAGGAACACGATATCAGAAGGGGGAAATTGCAAAACTCACATTTGGTGACATGGACAGCATGGCGTGCGAAGCCTGCTCGCTTCCAGACCAGGCTGCCGGCCTTGGGGAGAAGGGGAGGAACATCGCGGCTGACTAGCTTGTAGCTGACGGGCTTCTTGCTGTATGGGTTGAGCTTGTTGGTATTGGCCATGTCCCAAGAACGGCTGGTAGACCCGTTATAGTCGGACATAGCCTCGATGGGTGTGGAGAACTTTGTCTTTTTGGCGTAGAAGGCGTTGCCGTACTTGTTCTCGGCACTGCCGACTTCACCGGGTCCTTGGACTGCGTCTACCTGGAAGACGGTATTGTTCGGCCCGTCGATGTTCGGGTCTACACGGAGACAGAACAGGTGCTGGTGGTTATGGGCGTTGACGCCGGGGTACACCTCGGTTCCCCAGCCCTTGGTATCCTCGCCTGGGTTCATGGCGTAAGTGTTGAGGATGCCGGTCAGCTTGATCTCGAGCTGGATTGTGCCGTCCTGGTGGAAGATCCAGTACACGCAGTACTCGTAATTTGCTGCGGTAAAGATCTGCGAGATGATGAGCTTGCGGCCGCGGGTTACGACCATCGACTCGTCGCGGAAATCGGTGTGCTTGAATAGGATGCCGGCATCTTCTTCGTGGATGCAGATGGCGTTCTTGATGATTGTGCTAGCGCCCGCCCGGTTGACGAATGCTGCGTCCATGTAGTGGATTGCGCCCTTGCAGTCGCATCCCAATGTCAGGCTGTTTGTCATGTATCCACCGCCGTACTCGCCCAGGTCAAATGCATGCTTGCGTTGGTGGGGATGCTCCGGGTTGCCGTATGGCACGACCATCTCGGCCATTGAAAGACGCCAGAATACAGGCCGCACATTGCCCTTGTCGTTGAATGTGATGTTGTTCAGGACAATTCCTTCCCGGTAGTTGAAGCCGACGTGGATATTCCAGTTCTGCCATTCGATTATGCGTCCTTTGACCTCGAAAGACACACCCTCTGGCTGGGTGATGTGAATTGGCTTAAGATCGGTTCGGTATCCTCCTTCTTTTTCGATCGAGGCCGGGTGGTAGTTGTTTGGAGGCGCCTTGCTGAGCGGTCTTCGCACAGACGGCACATCAATGTGGATGATCTGCTTGGTCTCGGCGTTGAAGATGGGACAGAAGTCCAAGGGATAGGTATATTGGGAGTCGTCTGGGTGAGGGCGATAGTACATCAGGGCTTGCTGAAGACGGACACCAGTTCCAAAGCGCTCATCATATCCAATTGTCCATGCTATAATACCATTTGGTCAATATCAATCTTTGACAAACGAGGGAAGTCCACTTACGGTCACAGTATACTTTATGCATATCCTCCTTGGGAATTCCAATGATACCACATTGCTCGATGACCTTAGCATCCTTGCGTACAACATGCTCAACCTCCTGCAAATCCTCCATAGTGATCAGAGGCTGAACATTCGGTGTGTGCTGCCACTTGATGATCTTCTTCTGGTCCAGGTCAACCACACCATCGTAGATCTTACCACCAGGCGCAATGGCAACAATATCAGCGGCTCGGCTAGGACGAGGCGCATTTTCTGGATCAGCCACCCAGGCCATCATCTGGGCCTTGCGGGGCTCGTATAGTGTGACCGCATTGAAGTTGAGCGAGCCATGTTCTTTGCGGACAATGTTGACAGCCGCATCAATTTCCACCGTAGACAGAGGATCAAGTGGATGAGGTGGCGGTGCAGTAGCGCTGACCTGGTGAGTCAATTGGTGTAGTCGGTCGAGAACCATGCTGTGCTAGAGGTATATGGAAGGAGATGACTTCAAGGTGATGAGGGTAAAGTGCCAATTCGAGTCAAGCAGTGCTGAAGAGTTGAACACAATTAACTCACTTGATTCTCCTCCAGGTCTGGGCTTGCGAGCTATTTAACAAGCAGGTGGTATCTCGAAAATGTCCCGAGCCCTGCAGTTATACCTCTATCGATTAGATAGATATTTGCGGAGGCCGGATCTGATATCCTGATTGGGGTTAGCGTGGTATCTCCAATCCCAAAACGGCAAAGAGATGCTTGTCTGCAGCTATCGTCTATGCGTTATTCATGTCGTTTGTCACATCGCGGGGTAGAAAACAGGCATGTCGCATGAGAATCCTCAATTGGGAACGTGTGCTTGGCCTCAATTAAATCTGCAACTGCGGACCTCTCATCCGAGCAGATCCCTAGATATGGACAGGCAAAAGGAGCTCATAAATCTACAAAACCAGGCAAATTGAGCGAACAGAAACCATGATTCCTATACATAGGACACAGACAGGTCCGATCTAGCTACAACAAGAAAGAAACAAAAAGCGACGTAGATCACAAGAACGAAAGGCCCAAGGCCATAATAGAGCCTGTCAACGCCTCGTAAATGGATTCAAAACCAGCCATATCAAACGCCAGGCACCTTCCTGCCCAACACCGTCGTCTAGACGCAGAACCTAGCACAGACAGAGAGCCCATGCAAAGTAATATGCGCGAAGACAATGCCGAATATCGAAGGAAAATAACACGATGTTCTCGTGTCTATGTACATACATCATATCACATCAACCCAGGTGCTACACAGACTGTGCCTCATACCCGGCCCATTTGATAGGCTCCGGGAGTTGGGGCATTGTAGCCAGCGCCGTGGTGCTGAGGTGTATGAGCGCCAGCTCCGTGAGACCCAGTATTGGGAGTGCTGGGAGTTCCGCCGGAGTAAATGGTGGCACCATTGAGGTTCGGCGTTTGCTGGGCC